ATTTATTACATTGTATACTTGTTTGAGAATAAACAAGATTGAAGGGAAAAGGTACTATCACAGATTCATTACCTATTCCTATATCTATTTACATATACCTACATTTATCATATGTTTATTACCTATTCTTAATTAGTTCGGGTGAATGCCTTAGACATCCACCCATCATATAGTCAGCGTCGCTCCATACACCTCCTTCTCTCCTTATCGAATATCATACATCTTACCTAGTACCCACCAGAACCCGTACCAGCCCCGTGATACTTCTGTTTTTCTACTCTATAATCTTATATATTTTTTATTCATCTACTATCTACTATCTATTATATACTCAGTATAGATACTAAGAATATAATTTATAATTATAATTATAGTTCTTAATTAGAACTAGAACTAGAACTAGAACTAGAATAGATTATAATTAGAATATATATACTAAAAGATCGATATTATATACTTGAATACTATCAATTTGTTTCTTCTATTGATATCTAATTAAAATTTTATTTTTATTTTTTATATATAAGTAGCTCGCTCGGTCATGCTTCCAAAAAAAAAATCTTCTAGAAGCTTGGAAGCTTGAAGGGATGTTAAAGGAGGTTGTGATCTACTCGACTCTTAACCCTTGAGTCTCGAGAATGATATTCGGATATGCCGGAATAGTGGAGAGGGGTTAAGAGAGTTGATATACTGTACCTAGTACCGGTACCGTACCCGTGTCAATACTACGAATATTATGAGTTTATGCCATGATGTGATATGATATAGACTATAGTTGTGGATAACCGGGGTTAGGTTAGGTTAGTTTAGTATTTAGAAGTTAGGGTTAGAAGTCGTTTATGTTTTTTTCTTGAGTGTTCTATACGGTACTCCTACTCAAGTAGATCAGATGAAACTAGAGTACCGGTGCTGGATTGGGACTCTATGATGTAAGTTTTGAGGTTGGGGTGCAGATTTTGAATACGGATGCTATATAGGATCGACGATCGAGGTTTGCGAGGCTTGCGAGAGTGAGGCGATATTTATAGGTTTGGCTGAGATGGGTTTGATAATGCTTGTTTTGTTTGGAGGTTAGATGGCTGAGGTCATTATTATACTTGGCTTTAGTTAAGTTAATGTTGTAGTAAGGGATAAGAGTTGGAAAGAGAGGATTTTCATATATACTTTACATACTACTATGTATTGAAAGGTAAGCGCACTATTAGGTTTATTCATCAAAATCATCAATTTCATTGACCCTTTTCCTCCTTTCTGGACAATTCGGTCCTGTACTGTCTGTACTCGGTATATAGCCTCACATCCCCTCGTCACAAATTCACAATATCATACCGCATACTATAGCATGAAAAATGCCCCCAAAAGTAATCTCGATCAAGTCGAGAGCCCCTTACCCCCCCCCCCCCCTAGTAAATAATAACAAGGCTGAGTTGAATGCCCGAAATGTAAGATTTTGGAATTTTCCAAGGAGGAGAGGCGCTAAATATGGAGCTATCGATAGATAGGCTTTCAGGGGTAAAAACTCGGGAAGGACGAGGGCTCATTTTCGAGGGTTTGGGTCGAGCTAGTTACCTGTGAATGATTAGTTATTGTTATTGTTGGATTGAAAGGGATCTTGTCTTGAGTCTTGAGTCTTGAGGAGTTTCGGAGTTTGAGGATTGAGGATTTAGGGGTGCCGGTTGGAAGGATGGAAGACTTGATGTTGATGATTCGAAGGATGCTACCTCCTGGTGATGACAGACATACAAGTAGAATCAGTGGCAAACATACACAATCACATAAATTAGATCTTGGTCCTGTACGGCGTACGCTCAGACAACTCTCTCTCCCTCTAGGCTCTACCAAAGAAGCCTATGAAAGGAAACAGTATCAACCAATAATACCGTAACTTGGTTAAAATGTTGTAAATGAAAAAATCATGCCCAAAGCTCTTTTGGGTAATATGGTACGTGTAACTATTCAATCAATATCAATATTTGAGGATCCTTGAGGTTTCTAGATGGATCTTTGCTTTTTCATTTGTATAAACTAGAATACTCAAGTAAAAGCATAAAAGTTAAGTTTCTTTGAGCTGAGTTATCCACTCTATAGCTTGCTTGGTTTATCAAATATATCTAGGGCGTAGCTGATCTGATTGTATGCCTCTTGGTGTATGAGATATACATTCAGATATATCATATAAGCAAATGAGAGATTCGATAATGTTGATAAAGATCCGAGTATTTTGTATTAAGATTGAAGAGATGCTAATTAATAATTATTCAGAAATATAATTATAATTTATTGAATATGAAATATAACAAGTGATATAATAAATACTCACTTAGTATATATAATAATAACTGATCTAATTTGTATAAGACTTCATTCTTATTCTTTTTCGAGCTTGGATCTTGACTTACTTATTATTAGATAATTTCTACTTTTTTCGATATCTTTGGCTTCAAATCTTGGTTTGTGGATTCTGTACTACTTGTTACTGTTATATACGGTATTCGATCCTCCGAGTCCCCCCTTGATGACAGCAGCCACCTAAAGGAAAGGAGTGATCTATTTTGAATTTTCTATAATAATTTTCAGCTATCTTATTTTCTTCTTGAAATATATCTGACATTCATATCATATCGAACCATCCTCTCCTCTCTCTCTATATGAAAGATTTTTATAATTTAAAGCTAAAAGACATCACCATCATGAACATCATGAATATCATGAACATCTAATCAATATGAAGAACATTACTGAAATATCAGGCATTTCATCACATTTGAATCAACAAGCGAATCAAAAACTTCAATTCCTGCAGGACTCCTATCTGACTGCATCACATCGCATTAGTAGGAATCTTTTACCAAACCCCAACCAAGAATCCTTTCAATTGAAGGGTCAAAAGTTCAAAATTTTAATATCAATACGATTGCGAGGAGGTTGTCGTCGTCGTCGTCTTCATAAGATTCAAGTACCAACAATAATAATCATAATAGAAGAAGAGGAAGAAGAGGTTGAAGAGAAGAAAGAGAAGAAAGAACACCGCTTATCACAAATCGCGGCCAATAATCTGGCCGCAAAGTCCCAACGGCGTCGCACTCATCAAACCTACCGATCACCATACCTTCATCCACCATAGCAACCGCCAATCGAGCCAATGCCCCTCCCTCTGCGATTGGAAACGCGAGAATTCCATCACCAAGTCATCAACCTCCATATCCATCACCAGTTCCCCGTTCATCCAATCCCGACCAACCACAAGTTCGAATAAGTAGTCCAACGAGGTGGAGTTGGAGGAACGCTTTACAAGGTGCTGCAATCCCTGATACGACCGAATCATTCCCAAATCCTTTTAGGCCTCGTGCTGGCTCGAGAAGTATCACGAGAGGGGGACCCGGAAGACCAAGTAGTTCGAGATTGTGGAATCCGACAAACTCAACGCCAAGAGCATATCCGCAGACTCCAGAAAGACATCAATCACCACCGGAAGGACGAGAGGTGATTGCGATCCCACTCCAACATCCTGATATATCCAAGCTCCGAGAGGGAGCTGGTGCTGGAGGCGATTATCCATTATTAACCTTACCGGAACAACGACAGCAAAGACATTCCGCATCTACGAGGGCAAGTTTACAGGTTGATAGAAGTGGGAGTTCATTGAGTTCGCATCGGATTTCTTTGCCAAGGACTGTAAGCATTGACCTTGCGCGAAGTCGAAAAAGCGGTGATTCTCCTCTTACGCCTACCGCCGGACCAAAACTCGATAAAGGGAAAGGGAAAGCAGTAGAGGAAGAGCCTGTCACAAGTGTTGCTACGACATTCGAAAAGCTTACAGGAAGTGCTCCTGAAGGAAGACAACTTACCCCCACACCTGTTTCTGGCATCTCTTTCGATTTCAGTAAAGCAGATATGTCTACGGACCTCGAGCGCGGTCCAAATACCCTCAATCCATATAATATATCCGGCACATCCTCCATACCCCATGCAAACGACTCGAATACATCATTACCCGGCGGTATCGGTCCCGCATTATCATCTAATGGTACATCGATAGTAGGGGAAGAACCCGGCGAGGGTGATGATGTTGAAGAATGGGGTCCTCAACATCCATGCTTTCCACATATGAATGTGCACGTTCCACTCTCATCACCTTTATATACTACAACCCGTATAATACGCATTCGTCGCGATTGGATGGTGGAAGGAGATCTCGCGCCTACTTTTTCAAATTTATATCCTGAAATTCTGGATCCGGCTGGTGTTACCGAACAGGATTTTAGGGGTTTGATAGAGAGGATTAATGGTGAGTTGATACCGGCCTTCAATCCTTGGGTACCGAGAAATATTTTCGATGGAGTGATGGGATTGGTGACGGGTTGGATATGGGATGACTTGGGATGGACGGGTGTGAAATCGCGGTTAAATCGGGTAGAGATGTGGTTAGAGGAATGGAATCGGGATATGGAGTCCAGAGCCAAGGAACCAGGAACGGCTCCGAGAATCGTGAGCTTGAGGAGAACGGGTTACATGAACGTAAGTGTATCCCAACTATATTTTTTCCTACTTGCCTCAATATCCCAGCCATTCAATCTCAGCTATTCAAGAAATATCCCTTACTAACAAACAACCAATAATATATAGCTCGACATCCAAGTTCCCGACCCGGAAATCTCTTATCCAGCTACAATACCCGAATCGGATCGTTTAAATTCCGGTCTATCACAAAATACACATCTCACCGAACCTCCGCCAGACTCAGAAGTGCTAGCTACAATACCGAGTAGGAGTCTGAGGAGTAGTCATGGGGAAAGTATTTCTTAGGTGGTGGGATGTGGTGGGCTGGCGACTGGTGATGAGTGGTGGGTGGGTGTAATGTTATAAAGAGGAGGAGTGTATGGAAGGGAAGATGGAAGAGATGCAATTTATACCCCCTTTTTTCTTTCATTTTTATTGCGCAGGCGTTTTTGGGGTGGGGGAGAATTCACACAAGAGAAGAATAGTGGAACAATTTTGTGGCATAGTTGGGCGGGCGTTGCTTTTGCATTTATATATGTATTATGTATGGATGGATTGCAAGATCATATGTATATGTTAAGTTGAGTTGAGTTGAGTCTTTTTGGGGATGTTTTTTGATGGGGAGTGGGAGGGGGGAACGCTGGATGAGGGGGGTGGGGATGTTTTGGGGGAGAAGATAGGGAGAGGAAGATGAAGAGGGTAAGGGTGAAGAGGAGCCGGCTGATGAATTTCATGACATTGTCATGTTTGATGAGGATAGGATAGGATGGGTGATGATGAGGAAGGTAGGGTAGGATGGGTACAGGGAGGACGAAAGGAAAGAAAGTGAAGCTTGCTTGCTTGCTTACTTGCTAGCTTGCTACTTAATAGATAATTGTATTGTACATAGGTGCTGCTGCTAATGACGATGATGATGATTAATTGGAACGGGATTCAATTTATAATACCATATATTTCTAAATATACTCAGTAAGAACTGGCTAAAATAAAAGTTCACGTTATGAAACATGAAATATGATAAAGGTATTCGTTCATTCATTCATTCATTCAATCATTCCTGTTCACTTCAATCATGATATATAAACTTTTTTAAGTTTCTCCCGATCAACCACATCACCCGTCCTTAAATCCTTCAGTTTATCATCACTCAAACCGGCCTTTCGACTATGCTCTTCAAGCCGCTGTAATCCATACACACAACCGTTGGGAAATACAACAAGATCGCTCTCGACGTGACTCTTGGTATGTTGTGCATAAGGCACGTTTCGAGCAAGGTCATTGAGCTCGATGCTGCAGATGGGGCAGACGGAGGTGGTGGTTGAAGAGGAGGTGGGGGAGATGGAGGATGCGTGGGAGGAGTGACAGGTGGGGGTTTTGAGGGCGGAGAGGCCGGCTGATAGGGCGATGTGGAGGAGTGGTACTGAGGGGAGTCCTAATAAACTGTTGTGGGTTTCTGTGAATAGTTTGGCGAGCTCGGTCCAGCGGGTTGAACTGTATAGTTCCTGGGGATTTGTTAGGGATGTTAAGTCTTGTGAAGGGAAAATAACATACACTATAACTACTGGCTTGTATACCCGGAGGAAATGCCAGAAGCCCACAGGCTTGTTGTACTTCTTTTGGGTAGGTCTCTCGGGAAGGTAAAAGATACTTCTTCGCATGTGTAATCGACTCAACTAGCTTCACCTGATCTTGCGTTCTAACCAATTCGATATATTGCTGAAAGCGGAGCATGAACTCCAGATTACACTGAACAAAGTATCAGCATATATATGAAGTCTGCGACCTGGATCCTTACCTCCATCTTCCGGAGCTCTTTCTTGTTCTCCAAGCACCACGACAGAGCGTCGGCAACTTTGCCTTTGCATAGACTGTCTCTTATCTTACTCATTTGTACAAAGGTTTCCACATCCACCAGTTGGTTGATATTCTTCTCTCTCGCGAGAGCTGTCGCACTCTTCTTGTATCCATTTCGCAAAAGGTAGTCCACCAATAAACGATCCAGTCGTGTTCTGCTCCATGCTTCATATTTTACATCATCCAGACTCTTCATCTCATATAGGGAGCTCAAATGTTGTATTCGGTGGTAAGACTGTTGTTGGAGTCTGGTGTCCTCTTCTGCGCATGCTTGGAGCTTCCTCTTTAAACCTCGCATTCGAGCTAACATGGCGTCGACATTTTTGAGAACATCGTCCGGAGATGCGTTCGCATTGAGGGATGCATCTGCGGTCTCTCGGAGAGTGGCCTTTACACTTGTACTTTCCTTTTCGACGTTAAATTGAGCAACTTTGAAGTTCTTTCGTAGTAATTCGAGGGGGAGTCGGAGGAGAGGTTGATCCTATAATGCGATTAGCTGTAAGACCTATCGCCGGGAGCTTGGATGGTTACAAGAATGATGTGAGTATCAGGATTTAGCTTGGTAGTAATCAAATCAGCCATGTTGAATAAAGATTCGGATGTGCAATAATTTAGAGAAACGTTTATGTTGGAGAGGAAGTAGAGAAGGGGGAATGAAGGAGTATGGGATGGGATAGCTTGAATGAACCGAATCAGGTGTGGTGGGATGTCACAACCAATGAATGTCTATTCTATTCAAAGGATTGATTGGTATATGAGATGATATATCATAATGTAAACCAGGATAGATTCACACACAAATAGGTTTCGATTTATTTGTGTATATATGGACAGAAATGTAATTGATATTCTTCAATCCTTCAAATCATCAATACCCATCTACTTCTCGAGTAGTACTACCTAGGTACAGTACTCCGTAGGTAGTTGAAGCTTATCGGCTATCGTGTATGGCAGCCTTTCCCTATCATGTACGGCAGCTTCATCTCTTTTGATTCCTGAGGCAGCCTTTCCCTTATCCTCCCTAGCCATGTTACGGCAGTTTATCTAATCAAGTATGTAATCTTTTGAGTCTAGTTCATTTCTTTTAGCGTCACTTCAAAAAGTCTCCCCTCCCACTTTGTCCACATGATCACTTTCAATCCTCTTCAACTCGTGATCAGTAACACCCTCACATCATCTGACCCCCATCATCAATTTACAGAAGTTTATCTAATAAGAGTAAATCAATCTGTTTTAACGATGTCTATTAAAGTCTTTTGCTAATCATTTTATAGCTTTTGTCCTCTTTTTCCATTCAAAATTCGAGTGGTTGGGAGTTTGACAATATCAAAGAAGTCAAATCATCTTTACTCGTCGCATTCCCATTCTTCTAGGCCTCGGGCAAAAGAAAGGAAAAGGAAAAGTCACGAAAAGATAACCAAAATCAAAACAAAAACAAGAAACAAGAAACAAGAAACAAAAGCCAAAAAAAGGTATGCCTGAGATTTCATAATAATAAATCTTTTCAAAGTTCCACCATCGAAAGCCTCTCAGATCGATCTTCTTTTTTATTTTTAAATTCTGTGCCTGTCCGTCGCATCCATCCGTTACAAAGTTGGTTGTCAAAATAGAAGCGCCTCTGTACATTTTATGAGATGTTATCTTTTCGTGGAACCTCCTCAAGTCTTCTATTCCACGCGACAAGGATCGTTCGGACATTACCGTTGGTCAAAAACTTCTGCAATTCATAAGTTCTGTCACCAGATCCCAAACACAAAAAAAAAGATGTTTCCTCCCACGATTTTGATCACATCTTGCAGAGCAGAGAGAAGAGAAGACCAGAGAAGAGCAGAGCAGCAAGAATATCAATGTCATTCAATATCAATATCATATTATGACTACCTGCGAAAGTTCAACTATGAAAAACAATATTCTTGTTTACTCCCAACCCAAGTACAATAATACAATTGTTGTACTTCCTGCCAGCGAAAGCTTGATTCATTCATGATTTATCAATCGGGAGTCGCAACACTCGAGGGATCAGAGCATAACGACACAAAGTCAATTGATATCTCTTTTTTCTATCACTAAATTGTTGATTGAAGTACTATGTGATAGTTTATCTGCAATGACACGTGCTGACCTTGTAGGTACTACTCCGAAGGACACAGAAACGTTCGTTTCGAAGATCACGGCAACGAACTACTGCAGCTGAGCGCTTCAAAGTATCAGAGCGAGTCACCGATACGTCTCCATTGCTTCCGTAGCAGCCGTCCCATCTGCACTAGAAGAAGACTGCCGTTGCACCTGTGCCAACCTCGGTAGACACGTCATTAAATCGCGAAAGATTCAACTTCAGCCTTAAATCTATCTACCAACCCCTCGAGGTCATCTGCGCCTTACGATTGTTGATTTCTCAATCCCCCACAAATCATTGTGCAAGGCTCGTCACGAGAGCACTATATTATCGCAATGGCAGATATGGACCTTGAACATTCAGGATTGCAGGAAGTAGCAAATGCTATGCGGGAAGAGAATGCTAATATGAGCAACACTGCACAAAAGCGGAAGCGGGACTCCGAATCAGCTGATGACACGAGGCGTCTTAACAATAAGCGTGTTTCCCCGAACTCTGGCAATGACTCCGGTGACCAATCGTTGGTCAATCAGCAGATCGGAGATGTAGAAGCCCTGCAAAACTATGCCAACCTTCAACATAACCAACAAATTCATCCCGACCATCAAAACGGTGCCGCAGATCATGCCAACGCCACTTCTACTGCCGCTGCGGCACTTGCTGGTATCTATCCAACCATGACGATTCCACAGCCAACGGACGTCTCTTTTGCTTCTCAAGCATCTGAGAACGATCGCCATCAAGATTCGTCTTTCATGGATAACAGCCAGCAAGCCGACAACAGCTTCATGGACAATTCGCAACAGCAGCATCAAAATCAAGGTCGAGGTTCTGGTTCAAAGCCTGTGGTGGGATCTGATGAATGGCATAAAGTCCGAAAGGATAACCACAAAGAAGGTGATTCTCACTCTATATATATTCCACATTTGATCTTCTCATGCTGACTGATTTTTAGTTGAGAGACGTCGTCGGGAAACCATCAATGAAGGCATCAATGAGCTAGCAAAGATTGTACCTGGATGTGAGAAAAACAAAGGATCAATTTTACAAAGAGCTGTTCAGTTTATTACTCAACTCAAGGAGAACGAAACCCAAAACATTGAAAAGTGGACACTTGAGAAGCTACTCACGGAGCAGGCCATTGCAGAACTCAGTGCAAGCAATGACAAATTGAAGACTGAATGTGAGAGGGCATGGCGTGAGGTAGAGACATGGAAGAAGACATGTCAAAGTGCTGGTTTGGCACCCAAGAAGGAAGATGCTGGCTCTTCAGAGAACTAGATGATGGAGTCTTGAGAATGTTGGGCGGCCTTCTCCTGCATTGTTGGTCACAACTGCGATAAGATGATACCCTTTACAGACAATGTTGTCGAGCCTTTGTGTATCGACTTATCACTTTTCATTCTTTCTCATTGGAGAACTAGGGACTTTTGGAGATTGTCGGGTAGCTTTTGCTTTATGGTCTCTCCTGTTTCTGACAGGAATGGTGGAGGATTGTCCTAGACCAAACATTCAGGGGGTTTTTTCCTTAATTTTGCTTAAGGCGTTTGAGATAATTTCTTTATCAAGCTTCTTGTCCGATAGCCAATTGCACCTCTTTTATTTTTCAAATATGGTTTCTGCAGATAGAAAGCTATTTGGTACAGTACTTAGGTACATATTGTTGCCCCACTACAATACCTAAGACCCCTGAAGGGCTTCAGGGTCAAGATCATGATGCATGCGGGAGAGCTTCTAGCTTGAAGAACTCTCATGATTTGCATGTTAATCTGTCTGCCCTGGATATCTACAATTAATAGTACATAACAGAATAACTCGAGTACAATAAGAAATTTAAAGAAATGTTTTCTTTTAGACTTTCTCATAAATTGATCTTAGTTTGTTTGACAGTCAAAGATTCAAAGGGTGACTGACTGATTTTGCCGAATTATGAGAGTTCTACGAGTATACTATACTTTTGTATAGAAATAGCTTACTGGTGATAGGTAGTCAGTCAAAACCTAATGACGTCTGAGCATCAAGGATAAAAATTATACTTAAATAACCTATTCTAACATCAATCAATAGAATCAAGAGCCAATACCTAACCTTGGATATATTAGTAGTAATCAATCAATTCATCCAGAGGTTAATATATTAAAATATATTAAACATATTATCAAAGTGATTTATGATCTTTTGTTAATTGAGGTGTATACATTATTTTCCAGATATTTTTCTGTTGCTTTGTAAGGGAATCGAATCTCACAATCTCACCCATCATAATAATTTAAATCCCGTATTTAGTGCAGTTTGTCGGTGTCGGTCCCATACAATCAGACAAAACCCGTCCAACCTCTGCCACACTTCAATCATTGATTGTGTTACAGAACGAATGAATTATTCTTCCATACACCAATATTGTCAGTTCTGAAATCTCTATCGAAGGAGGGCTTCAGTACACAAAGTATCACATATCGGCCATGGTCTTTAGCTCACCGCAGAGCATCCTCAAGACAGGCTCCTTCTCTGGCTTCCACGAATTTCAGGGTCAACTTGGTAGTGGATATCTCACTGCGGATAAATCAAGATCACAGCCATTATGCGGTAACAAGGAGGGATGGGGTCCTTTGAGTCCTCATCGATATGACTTTACGCCGTGTTTTATGGATGTTTGGGTGAGCTCTGTGGCGGCTTTTGGAATATTGGGAGGTGCTATAGCCATATGGTGGCTTTTGAGAAAGAAGACGCAGGCTGAGGTCAAAAAAGATTGGCACTTCTGGCTCAAGCAGGTATGGCTTTCTTCTCGTTGTTCTGCGAGTTCAGGGAAACGAAATGGTTGGAAAAGCTGACGCGCGCTCAATAGGCCATCATTATAGGAATCGCAACCACAGTCACAGTGCAACTCGTTATACAAATACTTGCCTATCCTGATGTGTGGGCGGGCGATTTTCGATTTTGGACCAGTCTTCTACAAATCGCATCCCTTGGTGTTGTGTTTAGCATACAATGGCTCGAGCATACCCGATTGCGGAATCCAAACGGCGTTGTACTCTTTTACTGGCTCTTTCTCAACATCGCATACGGAGTTAAGCTACGATCATTGATATCCCAACAAATATACCACGAGCATCTTCCATACTTTATTGCATATTGTGTTAGCCTTGGGTTATCGTTGATTGAATTTGGCTTGGAGTGGCTTGTGCCAAAGAAACAAAGTGTATATTCGGCATTGGAGGATGAAGACGAATGTCCTATCGAGTATGCTACCGTGTTTTCGATCCTCACGTTCGGTTGGATGACTCCTATGATGAAGCACGGCTACAAAAAATATTTGACAGAGGATGATCTATGGAACTTGGCCAAAAGGGACACCACGAAGTCATGCAGCGAGACATTCCAGGACGCTTGGGAATATGAAATTGAACATAAGAAGAACCCGTCTCTTTGGATCGCCATCTTTAGATCTTTTAGTGGACCATATTTCCGCGGCGCTCTTTTCAAGACAGTCAGTGACTCGCTCGCCTTTGTACAGCCACAGCTTTTGAAGCTGTTGATCGTATGGGTCAAGTCATATTCGAGCGATGAACCCCAGCCTGTAATTCGAGGAGCAGCGATAGCTCTGGCCATGTTCTCTGTTTCTTTGGGACAAACTATGGCTCTGCATCAATACTTCCAGAGAGCGTTCGAAACTGGTATGCGTATCAAGACTGCCTTAACGGCAGCAATCTACGGAAAGTCACTTAAGCTATCGAACGAAGGAAGAGCTAGCAAATCTACTGGAGATATTGTCAACTATATGGCTGTTGACACTCAAAGATTACAAGACCTTACCCAATACGGGCAACAATTGTGGTCTGCTCCATATCAGATCATTCTCTGCATGATATCCTTATATCAACTAGTCGGATTGTCGATGCTGGCTGGTGTTGCCGCCATGATTATAATGATTCCCATCAACGGTATAATCGCTCGTCTAATGAAAAAGTTACAACAAGAGCAGATGAAAAACAAGGATTCTCGAACAAGATTGATTGCGGAAATCATCAACAATATGAAGAGCATCAAGCTTTATGCTTGGAGTTCCGCCTTCATGGCTAAGTTGAACGTTGTAAGAAACGACCAGGAACTGAAAACTCTACGAAAGATTGGTGCTGCTCAATCAGTTGCCAATTTTACCTGGTCTACTACGCCATTCTTGGTTTCTTGTTCGACATTCGCTGTCTTCGTGCTGACCACTGACACTCCACTAACCACAGATATCGTTTTTCCTACCTTGACGTTACTCAATCTCTTGACATTCCCACTGGCAATACTTCCAATGGTCATTACCTCCATTATTGAGGCTTCCGTCGCCGTTAAGCGCCTGACGTCTTTCTTCACAGCCGAAGAGCTACAGCCTGATGCTGTCATTTTGAAGGATGCCATTGAGGAAGATGGCGAAGAGTCTCTCACGATTCGAGATGCATCTTTTTCATGGGACAGAAACTCTGATCGCAATGTCTTGCAAGACATTCACTTTTCTGCACATAAAGGGGAGCTTACTTGTGTTGTGGGTCGTGTTGGAGCGGGAAAGTCATCTTTTCTACAAGCACTTCTTGGCGATCTATGGAAAGTAAAGGGACAGGTCGTGGTTCATGGGAAAACAGCTTATGTAGCACAGCAGTCATGGGTGATGAACGCCAGTGTCAAGGAAAATATCCTCTTTGGCCACCGTTTTGACCCTAACTTTTACGAGAAGACTGTTGCGGCCTGTGCACTTACGGAAGATTTTGCTCAATTGCCAGATGGTGATGAAACCGAAGTAGGAGAGCGTGGCATCTCCTTAAGTGGAGGCCAAAAAGCACGACTGACTTTGGCCAGAGCGGTTTACGCTAGAGCTGATGTTTATCTACTTGACGATTGTTTATCCGCAGTTGATGCGCACGTTGGCAGGCATTTGATCGATAATGTTTTTGGTCCAACTGGGTTACTCAGTGGAAAGACTAGAATTCTTGCTACAAATTCCATTCCGGTTCTTAAAGAGGCAAATCTCATTTGCTTGATTCGAGATACCAGAATCATTGAGCGCGGTACATATGACCAGGCCATTGCTAGAAGAGGGGAAATTGCAAACCTGATCAACACATCCGAGAACAAGGATGTGTCCACAGATTCTGAAACTACTGAGACTAGCGATTCATCAACCATACTTGAATTTGACCAGCCTGGCGAGGAGGAAGAAAAGGACGAGGCCGAAGAAGCGCAAGAACATCTAACACAATTTCAATCTATTAGACCTGGAGGATCAGGCGTCAAAAAGAGGAAGGAAAGCTCTAATACCCTAAGACGTGCCAGCACAGTCAGTTTCAGAGGCCCCCGAGGTAAACTTCGTGATGAAGAAGAACCTTCGAAAACCAAGCAAGGCAAGGAACATTCTGAACAAGGAAAGGTCAAATGGGATGGTAGGCAAACACGAAATCCTAATGATGGCGAGATACTGACATTAATTAGTGTACGCTGAATATGCTAAGACTAGTAATCTTGCAGCAGTCTTGATTTACTTGGCCATGCTAGTTGGTGCACAAACGGCACAAATCAGTTGGTACCCCTCGTGCAGCCTACACCTGACTTTGCTTTTTACTAATCCTTCACAGGCGGTAGCGTATGGCTCAAAAATTGGGCTGAGGCTAACGACAAACATGGTGTCAACCTGAATGTTGGCAAGTATATTGGTGTATACTTTGCGTTTGGCATTGGATCTGCCGCTCTCGTGGTTGTCCAAACCTTGATCTTGTGGATCTTCTGTTCTATCGAGGTAAGAGTTCCCGGTCGGGCAGCGGGTTCTTGCATTATGCAGAAGCAGCCACGGAAGCTAATCTATCACCCGCTCAGGCTTCGAGGAAACTTCACGAACGAATGGCTTTTGCCATTTTCCGATCCCCAATGTCCTTTTTCGAAACTACTCCTGCTGGTCGAATTCTTAATCGCTTCTCAAGGTAAGTTGTCGGCAATACTTTTTCTTGAATTTCAATCTCTTCGTCGTATTCAGAATATTGGTGGTTGGCGCGACCTGTCAGCACCTCTCTTTGAGAGTATTTTCCCGTCTCTGATGGCGGGGATGTGCTGTGCTGGTTGCCTCACACCCCGCTTTACTCAGCATGCTGCATATGCGGTTCGATCCATATCCAGACTTCAATTTGTTTGTTCGAATGCTGTGTTACATCTATACCCGAGATCGGACCCTTCCAGACTAGAAGCTAACGAGTGCAAACTTAGTGATGTTTATCGGATAGATGAAGTAACTATAAAATTTAATCCTGCATTTTGACACGTTCTAATCCGTATCAGGTACTTGCGAGGACTTTCAATATGCTGTTCGTCAACACTGCACGGGCATTGTTTACCCTTGTCGTCATTTCCGTCGCTACCCCGGCCTTTATCGCTATGATCATTCCGTTGTCAGGCGTGTATTACTGGGTGCAGCGCTATTATCTCCGCACTTCTCGTGAGCTGAAGCGCTTGGATAGTGTCAGCCGAAGTCCAATTTACGCCCACTTCCAGGAGTCCCTTGGAGGCATCGGTACCATCCGAGCTTATCGGTAAGAAAACTTGACAGATGTTCCCGTTCGCCTAATAATCCACCTACTCGGTTCCTAAGTTCTGAGACTTCGGAAACAGAGATTATTAGAGATACTAATTCGTCCGTGCTTCAGTCAGCAGAAACGATTCACACAGGAAAATGAATGGAGAGTAGACGCTAATCTGAGAGCTTACTTCCCATCCATCAATGCTAACCGGTACGTCGTGCAATTTTCTACTCAACACAAGCTTTGTGGACAAGCACACGTGATCGGCGATCACCTAGAAGTGAAACCTGTTCCTTGTGGATCGGATCACTCAGGCACAGACCAATTGCTCGGTATTTGAGAATATTTGGAACATTACATTGAACTGACATCTTTGATGCGCAGATGGCTTGCCGTGAGACTCGAATTCCTCGGCTCCCTCATCATCTTAGCCGCCGTCAGCTTCTCCGTCGTGAGTGTAAGTACTGGAGGAGGCTTGACTTCCGGTTTTGTCGGACTGGCGATATCATATGCTCTTCAAATCACACAATCCTTGAATTGGATTGTTCGTCAAACCGTTGAAGTGGAAACAAACATCGTGTCCGTTGAACGTGTTCTCGAGTATGCTCGATTGCCGAGCGAAGCTCCAGAAGTGATCCACAGACATCGTCCACCGATCAGTTGGCCTGCCTCGGGTGGAGTAAACTTCAATAACTACAGCACGCGATACCGCGAAGGCTTAGACCTCGTGCTAAAAAATATCACTCTCGACATTAAGCCACACGAAAAGATTGGAGTCGTTGGTCGGACGGGTGCAGGAAAGTCTAGTTTGACATTAGCTCTATTTCGAATCATCGAGCCGAGCGGGGGTAATATCAGCATTGATGCATTGAACACGTCAACAATAGGGCTACTCGACTTGAGACGCCGACTGGCGATCATACCCCAAGATGCGGCTCTGTTCGAAGGAACAATCCGTGATAATCTTGATCCAGGTCATGTACATGATGATACAGAGTTGTGGAGCGTACTAGGTAAGTGCAACACTAGACGAAGATACTCGGCGTTGCTTGTGGGCTATGAGTGATCATATAACGCAAGCAGCGTGTGATACCAATATCTTAGCTAACCAATACTCTCAGAACATGCAAGGCTAAAAGATCACGTCTCGACTATGAATGGTGGTTTGGAAGCCAAAATTCAAGAAGGGTTCGTAACACATTTTCCTTATCATAAGCTGAACCATTTTCCGCCTGTTTCCAATATTCATTTCGTCAATTTCGCCCTACCTTTCACCACATCACTGCCCAACGTCGCAAACAATAACCATCATATGCCATCATTTGCGTTGTCCTTCAATCTTGATTTTGCGATTTCTTATTCCTCGCTCAGACATTCCCCTTTTGCACACATCCCTTCATTTTCCAAAATCTCACTGAAATTACTACCACCACCACCATCATCAGCAACACAAGAAATCACACATCTCCCCAGCCTCCTGTTTTGAAAGGGAAAATAAGCTAACCAAGTTTCTCCGGTATAGTGGATCCAATCTTTCCCAAGGCCAACGACAACTCGTCTCCCTCGCACGAGCACTCCTCACACCATCCAATATCTTGGTCCTAGACGAAGCCACAGCAGCGGTCGATGTGGAAACGGATGCCCTTTTGCAGACGACACTAAGGAGCTCATTGTTTTCTAAACGCACGATTATCACGATTGCGCATCGCATTAATACGATTTTGGATAGTGATCGCATTGTAGTGTTGGAACAAGGGCAGGTGAAGGAATTTGATAGTCCAAGGAGATTGATGGAGAAGAGGGGCCTGTTTTGGAAGTTGGTGAGAGAGGCGGGGTTGGAGGGGAGTGTAAGGTGAGGTGGATGAGATGACTTGGGTGGGGTAGAGGGTGAGAGAGGGAAGGGGGACGGGGGAGGGGGGAGGGGGGAGGGGTGAGGGGATAAGAGGGATGGGATGGGATGGATGGGGAATCTTGAACCGCTGATAAGGGAGGGCAAGGAAAAGGTGCATGCCTTGGCATGCTTAATTAAATTGCATTTACTGAAGTTCTGGGCATGCATATGCATTGTGTTATTTGTTTCGGTTCATGGATGGACGGGAAATTCGGGTAGGATGAGATAGAATTTTAGCGGGTGGGCGGGGATGGGATAGGAGGGTTGGGAGGGAAAAGAAAATTGTAAACTGTAAATTGTGAATTGATGAAAAGGGGAGTTCAGTTTGGGGAGGATGATAGGAAGGAGAATTTAGGCGAGTGAGTGGGTAGATAGTGGTGGACGGTGATGGAGGGTGTGCTGGTGTGCTTTTGTGCTTTTGTATATGTATAAATGTTATATTATGTTATATGGTTAATGGTTGGATCGAGAGTTGATTTCTTTTTTCTTTTTTATGAGAATTTGTGATTGATGAGGGTGAGGGTGAGAGTGAGAGTGAGGTGAAATTCTTTGGGATTGGGGTTGGGGATTGGGGGTTGGGGGTTGGGGGTTGGGATTGCGGATTGAATGGGTGAAGAGAGGGATGGATGGTAGTATGGATAAGATGGATGAGATGGGTGGGGATGGGAATGGGAATGAATGGATGGATGAGAATGGGAATGGGAATGGGAATGGGAATGGGAATGGGAATGGGAATGGGAATGGGAATGGGAATGGGAATGGGAATGGGAATGGGAATGGGAATGGGAATGGGAATGGGAATGGGAATGGGAATGGGAATGGATGAATGGATGTGAGAGGATTGCAGAGGGAGAGGAATCGAGAGGGAGAGGGGAGGAAGACAGGAGGGGAAAGTAGGAAAGGGGAGTTAGTGGGTTATTGGGCTAGGATTGAATTAGAGGATAGGGGATAGGGGATAGATGATTCCTCTTCCTCTTCCTCTTCTTTGTCCTTTTCCTTTTCCTCTTCCTCTTAACCCCCCTTATTTTATAATATACTCGAGCATATCTTTAACCTAAATCTCTATATCTCTATCTAAATCTCAATAGAAAACGAAAATGTAATCTTATTTATTATCTTCTTAGATCATGATGGAAAGTTTAAAATATATTATTTGTTATCTATCTATGTATGAGTATGTATGAGTAGATTATAGATGTGGATTCTAGATTATAGGGAAGCGTGAAGTGTGAAGTGTGGAGTGTGAAGTGTGAAGTGTGAAGTATGATAGGAGTTGGAGTTTGGAGTTGGAGTTCGGGGGGGAAGGGAAGGGGTAAGAGGGAAGGGGAAAGGAAGAGAATGGAGGGAGTGAGGTAGGAACAGGGAGGAAATCCAGCAGTATTAGATTTAGGGATGGTGAGGGTGAGGGTGATGAGGGTGAAGCGGTATATATACAATATACATGGTAATGATTTAATAGGTACGGTAGCTGCACGCTAAAGCTTAGATTAATAGATATATATATATATATATATATGTACCGGTATGTGGGGTTTGGGAGGGGGGCTTAGGGGGATGGGGAATATACTAGATATTGGATATTGGAGGATGGAGGGTGGAGGTTAGAGGTTAGGAAATGTATACGTAATAAGCGAGCGATGATATGATGTGATATGATATGATTTTGACGAGAAAGGTATGGAATATGATGTGTTGTGTGTGATGTAATTCGATGATGAATGATTAGTAGTATGGAAGTTGAGCTGAGATGGAATGGGATGGAATGGAATGGGATGGAATGGAATGGCATGGGATAGGATTCAGAGTTCTGGTTTGGTTTAACTTGGGACTTTCAGGTAGAGGTGGATGGTGCATTTGAATAACTGATTATTAGTTATTGACTATTTACTATTGACTAACTACTCGAGAGTAATAATAAGGAATATTTACTCGTATTGATGAGGGTAAGAGAATAGAATACGAGAAGGAGAAGGAGAAGGAGATAGATAGAATCACTTATTTGGGAATAATATACTTATACTCGAGTACTGAAAAGAAAGGAAGATGGAATGGGATGGAATAAGATGAGATGGAATAAGATGAGATGGGATAAGATGGGATATAGAAAATAGAAATAAGTGTGTTAATTTGTGTGGGAGGATCTTATTGAGTCTCATTCACTTGATTTGGGGGGTTTTTTTTGGATGTTTTGATTATAGAATTTGAGTAGATGGAATATTAAGGTTGGTGGGATTGTGTGGGATGGGATATAGAATATAGGATGTATAATGGGAATGGGAATGGAAAGAGTAAGTTTAAATTTAAGTTTGTGAGTGAATTTGGACTTAGACTTGGACTGGGGCTTAGTTGGAGAAACATGGGTAATAGAGATTTGAAGTACAATTGCTATGCGTCAAGTCTGAAGTTTAAGTTTTGGGTAGGAGAAAATGGATTGCGGATATGGATATGGATATGGATATGGAGATAGAGAGAGAGATAGAGAGTGAGTATTATTTTATAGCGAGAGATTGCGGATGAAAAGGTATGGTGAAAGGTATAATAGAAAAGCATGAAAGAGAAACCTGTGGTAAGAATTGGGCGAGAGTTTTGGGATAGGATAGGATAGAGAACTGTGGAAAGATTCAGGGGTAGGGTATATAGTATCTTTAACATGGGTTTTCTCAGAGAGCAGTGGATTCTAATCAATTCATTGAATTTTATGAGTGTAGTTTGTAAGTACAGTAGGAACTCAAGCTCACTGCGACTTGAAATTTTCAATATTGATGAGATGTAATAAAATTGATAATGAACGAACCTGTCAGTCGTGATGTTCTCTTCAAAATCTAAAGGTCGATTAGAGCACGGGTTATGTGGTTCGTGTTCCGTTGTATGGATATTATTGGAAGGATTCGTCTCCGTTACTTCATGATGATGATTTACAATTCTGGACACTTAAAATCTTGATTTAAATGCTATTTAGATTCTCTGATAGAGTAACACCCACCCACAACACCACACCCGCCAAATCCTTCCCATGAACCAATAATCTCAACGTCCATTAGAAAAAATTCAACGAACACGTTGCACCATACCAATGACTCGAGCATCGAATGTAAAATAAGCTAATAACCCCATGTAACACGACATGAAGGACGGTTGGGCACAAACTCAGGGCCGCGATAGGAAGCGGAGCATCCTCCGTTAGATTTCTGAAATGGGTGCACGAAGATGTGGTGAAGCTTTCGTGTTGGGGTGGACGACGGATGGTTTGGATGGCGGGGTAGTCCGAGCGTATGCATGGTTTGTGCAGGGTGAGTGTTGTGGAACGTTAGGTTGTGAGATGTGTGGTACTGGTGGTGAGTGAGAGTAGATTGGGGGCTAAACTGTTGTTCGGGGAGGCGGCGATTGAGAAGCGCAGAGGTATGTGTGTGTATGATGTGGATGGATGTGTGGACGTCGTGTATGTGTGGGTGTGATGCGAATGCAAATGCGGTGGTGTGCTGGGCTGAAGAATTCCAATTATCGAGACACAAATAGGCAGCACGAACGAGGAATGGAGTCAATAGACGAGCGAGGCACTGTGAACGCGGAGCTTTCTCCTAAATCTAGATCTGAAAGGCTGAAAGGAATAAAGAGGTCTTGGCCTATGGGAAAATTTACGGCGATGATGAAGTAAGTGGCGTTGCGATACCTGGCGACGTTTGGTGAAGATTGTTCTACCAGTGATCAATGATTAGATTAGATGTGAGAACGTGGCTGATGGAAAGGCTATTGGGAATCTATGGCTGGACATTAGGTCAATTCGGACCGTGTGCTTTTGCTATGATGCAGTGGTTGCCGTTGCAGAGATGAAATTAAGGTACAGTGGATGAACAGTGGAGGCTGTGTATAGGGGATGTAGTGATGGGATAAAATACGACGTGCGTGATGTGCTAACCAAAAGTATTCTGCAAGAGGTTCGGCACTGAGTAGAGGTCTGGGGAAGAAACATGGAGAAGAAAATGGGGTGGTACAACTTATCTACAAGGTTAGAGAGACTGGGCGTATGTATCTGTAATCCGTAATCTCCAACCGGGGATGCTGTACCCCGGAAGACAGGATAAAAACTTGAAAGGGAAATGGAAGGATCAGCCCATTCTAGCAGAAAGACGTAATGATGGTAACATATAGTTTACAAGAATAAAAAACCTTAATCGAAAGAAGATTTTCAGGGTATTCATGGAATGCAGATGCGGAGATTTCGAGTACACCTTGCTTGGTTTGTGTTCTTCGAGGTTCTGTACCTCCGGGATAATGGTGCTTTGCATTGAAGACCCGCGTTCAACGAACGATGCAAAGCACGGACGGACGGGCGGGCTGAATTTGAGGAGGTCATGAGCTAAGAATGATGAGAAAGGCACAATGGCGTTTCTCGAAAGTTTGGTTAGGTGTACCACGAGGCTGGAATGAGAACGTTTGGATGGGTGAACTCTTGTATAGTACAGCAAGTATTGTGAGGCATTTTCTCCTTTCTTCACGGAAAGATGCCATTTAGGATTCTCGGATGCTGTGTGTTCTCTGTTGAGTTCCATAGTTTGTTGTGTGAAGTACTTTCAATGCCGCAAGAACCGATGTGGTGCAAAGAGGCACAGACGAGGTACATTCCATAGAAATCGAGCAGAAAACGTGGGAAATACTTTTGTGAGACTAGATCGTTGTATGACATGATTGATGGAGTGTGAGCCGGTCCCGCGCGTGAATTGGCTTTAGGGCGGCCTTGAGATTTCGGTGTGGTCACACAGGTTGGACGATAGAAAACTCGAAAAGGTGTATTTGAAGCTCAATCAAAGATTGAAGATTGGTAAAGGTGACATCTTGTGATGTGATGATGTGGTGATGTGCAAATTAAATATGGTTGATCTGATATGCATGGTTCATTGGATACCAATGTAGATAAGAAAGGTCTAATGAAGGATTCGAAGGCGTTTGTGTAACATATGGTTGGCACAAGTGCTTGGGTGCGGTAAGAACCCAGAGCGGGTAAGGATTATCTGACTTGTACATAGACGCATGTGATTGAAAGTAACAATATAGTAGCGCTTACAGCAACAATGAACAACACATGTACAGTCCGAGGCATTGATTGAAAATATACTAATATAGTAGCGCTTACAACAGTAATGAACAACACATGTACGATACAAGGCATTGATAAGGTGTTTTCCCCCGCTTGAGGTTAGCTCCGAGATTTTATACGAGTGCTTCTTCATGACCGAGTGCTCTTTCACAGGAATTATGACATCATGAACAACTTCAAAGATATCTGTGAGTATTAGCTTTAGTGCCTTTGAGTAACTTATGCTTTGGATGTATGCAAGGAACAGATGGGGAGGAGATAATTCAATTATTGTTATGCAACGTTCTCTTTCTTGAGTCTGAAAGCTTGTGGTGGGACAAAACATTATTTCTGTTGGAATTGCTGTTGGTACGAGAGCAAGCTTACATAGGAGAGTGGCTTTGGCGGGGCTTGAAGACGTTGATGAGCAGTGTGAGTACTATTAGAAGAAGTGAGCCCCAATCATCTTGCGCTCATGACCAAGCAATAGATGGAAACATGAGTAGATGTTTAGTCGGTTGGTATGATAAGACAGCCATAGGAATATCACGAAGAGTCTAAATACTATGAGTTGACTTCAAAGTCATAGTTTGACGAAGCTGCGTCTTACAGTATGTAACTGTTAAATGGCATATTTATCTCAGGTATTTCATTTGATCTCCGTAGGGGGAAAATACTGTAAAATGATACCACAAGACTTTAAAGCCTGGCAAGCGACTATAAAAAACATACTCGAGATTTCATAACTCTCTTTGCCACAATGCTGATAAATATGTCTGTACTGGGTTGCCATGCACTGATAAGCAAATGGCAGAGTGCACGATGTTTTACGAGGAATTCCAAAAGCTGAATCACTTGCAAGCTTCATAAGGCCTCTATGCAAAGAGCTTTGAGGTGTGATGACCTGTTGTCAAATGTGTCGTGACAATCTAGCTCGGCCAGTTTGGATAGAACGAGCACTACTCTGTTCCTGCCAACCATCCTTTTATCTCCGTGGTGATTGATGGAAACTTCAAATTGAGGCATGGTGCAGGATTAATCGTGCGATGTCCCTCCTGCAGTCAACATGTTACCACTTTCACCGCTTCCCTAAATGCATGCTCGGTCGGAACCTGATGCAACCCACCAGGTTATTCTCCGATAGATAAACCTTTCGATAGCGATCATCCGAAGTATGCTCTCGAACCTTCACGTCGATCGTGATGTGATTCGGTACTGTTTGATTCATACCGGCTTGATACTCGAGGAAACCGGCAGGCTTTCCTCCGAGTACGTCGGCTAGTATGGGAGACGACGTCGGACGAAGTGCATCATGCTATGCAAGACTTGCTGTGGGCGGATGCTTCCAGTCGAATATTAGAATCTAAACCAATGATGAGAGTACTTGCCAAAAAACAGGATTCGGGTAGATCAGACGATCTCCGTAGATTATAAGTCCAGCTTTTGGACCCTTGAGTCGGTCATTGGCTACAATCTACCGTTTCTTATGTTGTACGATCTGAAACTTGGGTTACACAAGAGCGATGCGCAAACAAAGAGAAGCAAAGGAAAAATAAAGAGAGGGGAAATAAAAGAAAAGAAAAAAAAGAAATTCCAATATTTCGGATGAACCCGTGAGGTGCCAATAAAAAGCTGAAAATCTTGATACTAGAACACTTGAGCTTCATAATTGTAAGATCAGCCAGTTGATCAGTCATTCTATTATAGAATCAGTATTGTCATTCGTCTTATTCCAACAGTTAATTGTCGCTCTCCAACGATTGTAGATGTTGCCATATTGGATGTTAGTTAAGTCGATTTCGCTTTTGTTAGATGATATTCACCCCGCACCGCACCGCATGATAAACCTAGGTTCAGATACCCATAGAGACCCGGAGCAATCTGCATCGGGGTTAGAATTGTATTTACTATCTGAGTACCAATCAATCAATGTATTACAGTACCAAAGACCAAAATGTTGAGGTTTGACATTATGCTGCAATAATACAATTTGATAGTGATAATTGGATAAATATAGAAAAGTTAGAAAAGATAAAAGAATGTAAGAACTACTAGCTAGGTACTAGGTACTAGGTAGGTAACTAGGGTCTAGACTCTAGTTGAGTAGTTAATTTGACAAGCACGGACCTTCTACCTTAGCGCGAGCTCAATTATCACTTCAATCAAGAACCTCCTAGCTAGCTAGACCTCCTTTCGTTCAACTCAATCATATATACAATAACACCACCCATACATCACTCATCTTGTCCATTCTCCTAATTAGGTCGATACTACCTAACTAGCATTTACCTACGATCCAATTACACCATATACTTCAATCAGATTCTACCATCTATACCTATTAGGGCTATGCATACGAGACAAAGACTATATATATTCTTCATGATAACACCGAGAAAAGCCACATACATACTCGAGTACTTCCTTTTTTTTCGCCTTTCACCGCAATCTAACCCGTCTCACCCTGTTTGCCTTTCCCGCCATATGTGCCTCGGCCCTCACTTCTTCGAATCCATGCTTTCAATAAAGGACTCTTCGCCTGGCATCAGTTCTAGACTTTATATTCGAAGGGTCGTTGATGATCCTCCCCCACCATTTCCCCACGTTTTTAATGATATTCTTCGACTTGACCTGGGCCAGAATCATAATATTTTTATTTTCCAAGACAATTACTTCCCTGTGTCACCAAAAAATCCCCCTGCTCTATAGCATCAAAACATAAATCACGAAATCGAAAGCAGCACAGTACAGTAAGTAGCCCACAAACACAATCATACAAACAACAGCTGCACTTCTGCATCTTCACAAACTATGCAAAGTGTACTTGTTACTGACTGCATTACAACATCAACATTTTCTTGTCGTCTAGTTCGAGCCTTCGAGGTTATTTACCCATTATGTCATAGTAGGGAAATACTCTGTAGTCTTTGGATACGGTACAGCCTATCATAATGAGTACAGACATTGCATCGTGTCGTATTACGGCCTCGCTTCAGTTAACACATTAACCCAGCGCCCAAGCCGAGTAAATACACATGACGGCAAGGCAACCTTCAAGGATTATTTGAAACCCCCCAGGAACCGTTATGTGGTATATTCTCATCCCTTGCTGGGTCTCTCATAGTGGCGGTCCATGTGTCTGCAACAAGAACATGGATAACATGGCTAACATAGATTTCCATCAATCATAAAGTCAATGTTTTTTCCAAAGGCTTTTAAAGCTGTACCCAACGATCTGGGTGCTCTGCGATAAAATCCTCTTGGGAAAATTGTGGCACGCTGCTTAAAGAATCTGGCTAATATTAATATTCCCAATATTGGCCAGGATCAATATTCAAAATAATGCAAAATGGTAAATGGTAAAATGGTAACACGACCTTTAATATTCAATTCAACGAACCACTGAACAATCAAAGCAAGCCCAGATGCATAGGAGCACAACCGTGAACCATAACATATTGAACAGCGCATCGAATTTATTTCAGACCTTCGGTTAAGCCTAGAGTCCTACAACAAGCGACTGAGAGGCTTTTTGTCATACTACCCCCTCAACTATTATCTCCTTCATGCAGCCTTTTGCCGCACACTGCCTATGGAATTTACTCGATGGCCATTCTTATCTTAAAGCACATCTTTCATTCCTTTTTCTTTTACTTCTCCCCACTTCATACTTCATATCATTTTACACAGAGTTGTGGATCGACATTTATCACTAATCTTTATGTGATGAGATTATATCTCCACTGATTCACGAGTCTCATCTACTACTGGTCTCACTTGTCATCTCAAAGCAGAATCTCCCGTGCGAATCGTCCCATTGGTTCGAATATCAAACGGTGGAGGAAAGACCTAAAAAAGACCCTGAAATCAAGAAACTACTACAAGGCTCCTACAGTCGATCAAGCAAAAACTACTGCCGGTTTCCGAACAATATTAGAGGCTGGTGTCTCAAATCCGCTTGGACGTACAGCTTGACCTTTGATATATCGACCTCTTAATTGGATATAGTGAGATAAAAACATTCCTCACCCGGCCAAAAGGAAGACTCTTCAGCACTTCCATTTCTTTTGATACAACACTTCATATATTACGCTACTTTGTTATCAACTCACGAGTAATTTCGGCCCCAAATTCCGATAATCGGTCTGTACGGCTTCGTATCGGCAAGGGAGATAATTAATCGGCACACTGGTCAAATAGTTACTCTTGGTCTCATGCTTAGATTCCAAGCCTTTAGAGCCATTATCTCACCGTAACGCCTCAATCGATAACTGCAACTATAAACTCAGCTTCCGCTGGGATCTGGGTTTGTGTAACGCCACCTCTTTCCCCTCCACGGAAAACATACCTCGTTTTGATGTGAGCTGCATCACTTCCTGCCCTGTTCACAGATCATTACGATAGCTCGACTTGTAACCTCACCGCTTCGAGTCACAGACTTCAGAGCCCTTGCTTACTCTATCTGTCACTTCTCTTCAATATGGTTCAGCACGAGAATCCCACGCAGTCAAGGGATTGTTATCCCCGTGAACCATGGTCCAGTACAGCAGAAAGGCCATTCGATTGCAGCCAACCGTCGTTGAATGAAACCCGGCTTATACCCATTACACCGCACCGCTCTCACCCACACGATTTACCTCTCGTACGTAGAATGACAGTCAATTCCAACTTGATAAGAATATCAACTAACGTATCTGTAGAGCGTAGAGGAATGTTTGAGATCCTGCGCCCGAATTCCAGTAAAAGAGTTTGCAGTCATCGCTGTTCTTGATGATGGACGGGAAGTCAATTACACTTCCCAGAATTTGACGAACTTCCAGCCGAGAATATTCTCGCAACACTTGAAAAATGATTTTCACAGATCTATACAGAGAGCTAGTCTGGATGCCTCATTTTCAAATTCCACATGTCAGTCATCTTCCAAGTGATCATGATTCCTTCCTTGCTAACTAGATTCATTACAGCTTACCATCAAGATAGTGGATATAGTGATTTCAGTATAGATAACGGATCAGGTATGCGGAGGTTCTCAGGAATTGATTCGACTGCTGGAAAGAGGCGTCGAACTCGCCAACTTCGACAAAATTCCGATGAAACCAATGATGATTCGATGGGATCAAAAAAGATCAAGAGGTATCGTCGTCAATATGATGAGTCCAGTGAAGACACGCCGAGTTCTATTGTGGAGAGAAAGACGATGCAGTTGAGGATAGGTGACGAGGACGAAGTCGAAAAGTTCTATAGCTGTCGATTCAAGGATATGCAGCAATTTTCCTGTAAAGTCATGGGAAAAGCTTTTGTGAAGCTCATTGAGCCTAGAAAGCAGACCCATTACCCGTACACCAAGGGAGCTGAAAAGTCTCCACCGTGGTGGCCACCAACATTTGGAGAGTTCTCTGTGCGCCACAGAGAACCAGATCACCTCAGAAAGCCTGGTAAGTTTCACCTTCTCAAGGGAAGATTTTGTGATTAATATCTTAATTAGAGAGAGTAACACTGTTGGTACATATTTTGAGACTGATTGTGGAGCCGTACCACAGACAGTGTTTATCCGTCCAAAAACTAGAACTCAATGTCAAGATGCTGGAAGAATTCACGATGGAAGCGTTGTCCAATTTCTTTAACGATAAAGAGCATCCTGGGAATCTTGCCAAAAAACCTTTCATAAAGGAACTTTTCAAGGTTGCCAGAAAAGAAGAGCAGTACAAGAACGGCGAGATCAGTTAGTACCTCGCTTTTTAATCATTTACAGAACAAAATAACTGACATCCCCTAGGTGGCGATACTTACGTTCAGGTAATGTTTGGTGACAGAAACGGCGCAGAGATCTCAGATGACGAACCGGAAGAGGGGATGAAAATTGAGGACGAAGATCTACAATCCCAAGATATGGAAGCTTCATCACTGATATTAACCCCAAATAGCGCGACATCGCCGTCCGTTATGCAGATTCAGCAAATACAACAGGCTCCACCACATTCAAGTCAACAGAGAGAGCATGACATGTATGCACCGCCTCGACACGTCTCGGTTCGTTACAATTCACAACCAGAAGAGCATATGCATGGTTCGTCTTACATGAATACTACTGCTGGATACGTACCGCGGATGAATTTCAACGAGCAAAACAGCCCAAGCTTACAGGTTCAACCCCAGCGTTCCATGTCCACTTCCATGGCCACGGCCCAATTCCAAAACCCGCAGCAGTCAAACGTCAACTGGACACCATCCTTTTACAGCAACGCATCCTCTGCTTCTAGCTTCTATGCAACCTCACCGCAATCGCAATCCTTCACATCCAATCCTCCGCAATCATTCTCCTCTAACTCATATCAACTCCCTCCACCCAACTCTCAACCTATGTTACTTTCTCATCCGGTTGCCCAACCCTTACATAATAGCTTCGATGGACTCCCCCATCGATCTCAATACGATGCCACTCCCCAAATAGGATCCCAACTCCGAACAGGGAGCCTAGGACACCCACATCAAGTCCCAACGCATCAACATCACGGGGTATTCGACTTCCTTGACGGCAACACTTACGAAAATCACGATGCGGACATGAAAAGCGATCAACCATAACCGGACAGCCTTTATGTGAACCAAATCACATTTACCAAAGCGAGTCACATGGAGGATTTGCACTTTCATTCATTGTATGGCATACTGAAGTCAGTAATAAGAAGGGAGGAAAATATCGATTCTTAATATCTTCTTTTGTTTGAACACTCCTCGCGGGGGCGGAGGCATATATGCATTGGAGCAACGGAGTGGATAGCATAGCATAGCATGTGTGGCTGGCATATCATTGTCTATATACATATGTGGAGTGTGTTGGTGAGCGGTGGTGCAAGCGTTCGAACTCTTCTTCTCTTTACTTTGCAATCATCTCTTTGATCCTTTTGTTATATGCTTGTTTTTTGGTATTTTGATTACTCTTTTTTCTCATTGGGGATTTGGGGATGTGGATTTTTTTTCTTTATCTTTAGTGGATGGAGAGAGGGAGGGGGAGAAATTGGTCGGAGGTTTGGTGGTGGAAAAGTTTGGGAGTGGACTCGGATGCGATGCGATGCGATGCGATGCGATGGGATCTGCTTTTGGATTTGGCTGATATTATTTTTCACTTGGGCGAGCACAGATCTTAGTGCATAATTTGTCTCGTCTCGTCTTGTCTTGTCATTATGTTATGTCGTGGTATCTTTATGGAGGCTGGTGGACTGGATTATTTGTATGGTCTGTCACAGAGTGGTGTTTGGAATGGGCAGGGGAGGTAATGAGATGGATGAACTGGATGGATGGATGGATGAATTTCACGAATTGGGTATCTGTATATGGTATTATCGTCATATCTTACAAGGTCACCTGAAACTCGGGGTTTACTTGAGGGCGGTACGAGTCACGGTTACAGTCACGGTCACGATTTCGAAAGAGTAGGTTATGGTTGTATGGCTACTCATTAATTTGTCAAGGGGGATTTCGAATTGGAATTGGAATGGATGAATACAAGGCAACAAGGCAACAAACAAGCGCGGGGCAAATACATTTATGCGGATCTCGATTAGCAAGAAGGAAAGAAGGATTGAAGGAAAGCAAGCCAAAAAAAAACCAAAAAAATGGAAGAAGAAAACTCGGAGAGAAAAAAGTAGGAGAGTATATATTGGGTCTGTTGTCTGTTGTCTAGGCTTCTTTAGTTTGGTATATGATGGGATTTGATAGAAACTTGGGATATTATTAAATTTAAATCAAATATATTGTTATCTATTTATTTGTTTGGATTGATACTTTGGTTCTTGGATTTATTTATGTCTATTCTGCTGATTCATGTGTTTGATTTGGTTTGTATTTGCTTGTGTTTATTTACTTTATTTATTTAATTTACTGTATCTTGTCTAGGATTTGAAATGGAATAGAAGAATGGAAGAATGGAAGAATGGAAGAATGCTCTGGATTTCGTTTGTGCATATTACGTTTATGTTTGCCTTTGCTAGGTGTTGTGCATGGATGGGTATATACGGTATGTATAGTATATATGTATAGTGACAAAAGGGGCTTGATGATGGATAGGAAGGAATATTCATTTAAATAGATGGATAGATGAATAGATAAATAGATAAATAGGTAGGGTTATAGTAGGGTAGAAAGGGAGAAAGCAAAAGCAGCTTCATTGGATAATATTGCACAAACATTATAATACAATACAGAATCGGGCATGGAAAAAAGGCATGGAAAAAAGGTATAGAAAAAAGGCATGGAAATGACATGTAGAAATCGTAGCCATGGAGGTATTGGAGGGGGAGTGGAGGGGGAGGGGTGTCTATCGGGTAGGGTAGGGTAGGAGGAGAGGGAGGGAGGGGGTATGAGTAGGAGGTATGGGTATAGTGTTGTGGTATGATATGTGGATAGTTGATTAGATTGCTTCTTGGAAAAGGTGATGAGATGGAATGGTGTGTTTGCTTGCTTGCTTGCTTACTTGTTGGCTTACTTGCTGGATTGCTTTTGCGCGCACGTTCTATTTGTTTGCTAGCATATGAGCTTGTGATAAGATGAGATGAGATGAGGTAGATATCTAGGCAGATACCAAGATTTTCTTTGAGGTTAGCCTTTAGGCTGGGTAGGCTAGGTGAGGTAGGGGTAGGTGAGATCCCCTAGACAAGGATCACTTACTTACTGATACTATAGTTTCCGCCGGTGCCCGTGAAGCTCGGACGGCGACCTGGACCGAAGGCTCGGGATTGTGATTCTGATGGTGATGGATGGGATGGGATGGGATGGATGATGTGATGTGATATGAATGTGAATGTGAATGTGAATGTGATGCCGATATGAATATGATGGGCGGCTGGGCATGTATGGAATGGAAAGGAAAGGAAAGGAAAGGAAAGGAAAGGAAAGGATGCGGTGCGTTTTTGTTAAGGGGGGTGGGTATGTTACATTTAATGATATTAGATTGATACGAGGTTCTAGATTGCACGTATAGTAGCGCTTTCTTTTGTTGATTGTGTAGGTAGGGTAGGTGCGTTTTGTCCGGGGTAAGTTTGATGTTTGCTTCTTGAATTGGGGTTAGTGGATTTTAATATGGTAGATGAAAGAATGAATACCCTAAAATAAGAAAGATTAGAGAATTGAAGAATTGGAAAATTGGAAGGAATATTCTTTTTGGCGCCGGGACCGCGTGTTCGGAGTTTGACTTGGAGATGGAGATAGAGATGGATATGGTTATTGAGATGACGGTTTGGTATGTATACTTCCATTTACAGTTACGTATACGAGTACAAATACGTATACTCAGTACATATACATATACATATACAATACATATGTACAGCCGCTTATAGCAAATACGTACTGGTAAGCTTGGAAGTCTATATACCGGTATGCAATATAGCCGGATATATATCAATCGCTAGGCTAGAGAGCTTCTACTATGCGATGTCCCAAAGTAGTGGGCGGGTGTTAGGTTATGTTATGCGCAAAATACATAGTGTTAGGGCCTCTATGTACTGCACAGACTATGGAGGTACATAGGGTTCTAAAAAAGGGGTGGAAGACCGAGGGGAGAGGAAAAGAACTAATCGAGAGAGAACCCCGCAAATGTATGAGTACTCGAGTTATGGTTACATGGATAGCGGGGTTGGAATCAAGTAGTGGGTGGTAGAAGGAGAAGGAAGTGATAGGGTAGGTAGGTCTGGGACATTGTTGATTAGGGGTGCGTTTTTGGAATTGGATTAGATTGATGGGCATGGACTATGCATTGCATTGATGTTACGAATGAATGTACGAGTACTCGGGGGGTTTTTTCAGTTGCTAAGGCGGGGGGATGCTTCTAGATCGAATGGATCATTGATTTCGAGAATAATTGATGGGACTAAAAGGACTATTTTATGAGACACTGGTTCTAGAGGATTCTGGAGAAAGGAGGGATTAGTGAAGGAAACGAACGAACGATTGAATGAATTGATGATATTACTTAATCTCACTCACTTTATGTACCTTTTACTCTTTATTTCGTGCCAAGCGCAAATAAAAAAAGAAACAATTGATAATTTCATGATTTATTCTACTCGTATTACCTCATTATTGCATTCAATACCTTTCATCCATTCTGAGGTTTCCTCGTCTCAAAGAGACTCTGACCGCAAACTACTGTAGGGGTCTGTGCGTAGGCCAGACTATACCGAATGCGTGATCTTCAGAGCTCCGGAGGTGGTTCTTCCGACCCGAATCTGAAGATCACGCATCCGGTTAGATCAGAAATGGGGTGGGCGGGCTTCCTTATCATAACCACACCACAAGATTATCTCGCTTAGGCCTGAAATCTATAAAAACACTCGTAGGCAGATACTATTCCCACCTCTCACCGTCTTCGCACGGACTCCTATAGTTTGCGGTAAGAGTCGCTACGCTCCGTCGAAAAAGCGAAGATTGGACTAAGAATGCCTTTCATCTACATTGCATCAAGATCTTCATTGCAGTTGATCGTCGCTGTGCTCCATGCCAGCCGGCTCGGTCGGGATGATCGGCATCTTATTCATAACATTCGGTTTCTGGACATTGGTACTGTGGAAAATGGGAAATGCCTATTACGGGTTTAGAGATTATAGGAGGAGAGCGCAGAGTACCGGATTTCCGGTGATTGAAAGTCGTAAGTGTGGTGGTTATTGTAGAATGGAGAATGGAGAGTGAAGGGGAGTGCTGATGAATGGGTGTATTGTAGCTCTTGCGCCGATAGGATTACCCAATATTTTGACGTTGAAATTTATTATTCCGATATTGGAGAAATTGCCAGTGGCGAAACATTGGGAATGGATTTCGTATTTCCCCATCTTCTTTTTGTCTTTTTACCCAAAATAAGATGTGCTTTTGAGGAAAACGTCTGAAAGTGTATATCTGATATCCCAAAAGCATAGCCAACCACCGGAATTCCTTTCTTAATTTACGCTCTACCTATGATGTTCACGGCGACACATATATCTTTGCGACCTCGAACCTTAATCTTCTGCGTACTACTAATGCAGAATTGATAGCACAGATTACGGCGAGGAAAAATGATTTCGTTAAGCCGGTGAGGAATTATAAGGTTATGGATATTTTTGGGCGGAGTATCTTGACAACGGAGGGGGAGGAATGGAGGAGACATAAGAGGATTGTGGGGAAGAGTTTTGGGGAGAGGAGTATGGGGTTGGTTTGGGGGGAGAGTGTTAGGCAGACGATGGGAATGGTGGGGGTTTGGGGAAGGAGGAATGGAGGCGGTGGAGAGGTGGGAGGGGAAGGTGGGGATGGAGGGGGATTGAGGGTGGCTGATGCGGGGAATGATACGGCAATTTTGAGTTTGCATGTTATTTGTGCAGCGGGATTTGGAGTGCGAGAGTTGTGGGAAGAGGAGGAGAGTGCAGATGGGGGAGAAAAGGAAGGAAATGGGAATGGGAATGGGACGCCAGATTTGGGATTGAATAGACCTGTTGGTGATCACACGATGGGGTTTAAGGATTGTCTGAATTCTGTTTTGAGCAGTCTGATCGTAAGTGATCATGGACTGAATTGTATTGTATTGAGACAAAGAGGTGCTAATTGACATACAAGCTGATTATTCTATGGCCACAATGGGTCTTGAGTAAGTTTGAGTATTCCATTGAATATTGTACAATGAATGCGCATTTTACTAACGAGCTAAGAATATTCCCCCATAAAACATCATAGAGAAGTGTACAAAGCATTGCGAGAGACAACTCAATACCTGACCGAATTACTCGAGCACAAAAAGAAACAGATGGCTGCTGGAGAACATGATAAAGTGACCATGGATCTAATGGGTATGTCCACATCACAGAAATTGATCTTTTCTTTTACCCACTAATCACTAATCCCCTCCCAGGAAACATGCTCAAAGCATCCTCCGAATCGCCCATAGACATAGACATAGACAACGAAACCCAACACACCACCTCCGACCCCCTCACAGAAACCGAGATTAAATCCAATGCCTTCATATTCTTACTCGCCGGCCACGAAACAACCGCGTCATCCATCCACCTCTGTTTTATCTATCTCGCGCTATCACTCTCCTCTCAGTATTCCATGCAACACGACATTGACTCCATTGTTGGCTCCAAACCCCCGCACGAATGGACATATATGCGTGATTTTTCACGCTTGTATAATAGTATGGTGGGGGCTGTACTTAATGAGGAATTGAGATTAATGCCGGTTGCAGAGACGATACCCAAGGTTGCGGTTGGGGATCAGTGGGTTGTGGTGGATGGGAAGGAGATGCTTGTTCCGGGAGGCTGTTTTGTCCATTTGAATACGGTGGGCGTGAATAGGAATCCGAGGTATTGGCCGCATGAGGTGGTGGAGGGTGGGGGGACGGATTTGGATGGGTTTGTGCCGGAGAGGTGGGTCGTGGCTAAGGGTGAGGAGAGGAATGTTGACGAGGGGGACGGTGAGCATGAGAAGGTACTTGGTAAGGTTATAACAGGCGATGAAATATCCGACTCGTACGAAGATTCATCTTCAACAACACTGTTTAAACCGGTCAAAGGAGCATTCCTATCCTTTAGCGAGGGACCACGCGCTTGTCCGGGGAAGAAATTCGCTCAAGTGGAAATCACGGCTGTGTTGACCACTATATTTCAGAAGTATAGTGTGGAATTGGATGTAGCGAGATGGGCGAGTGATGAAGAGGTTGAGCGGATGGATGAGGAGGGGAGAAGAACGGTTTATGGGAAGGCGGTGAGGGAAACGTGGGGCGTTTTGAGGAGATGTAATCAGGCGCAGATAGTTTTGAAGATGGCGAGTGAGGATAGAGTGCCGTTGAGGTTTGTGGAGAGGGGGAGGGGGAGGGAGAGGTTTAAAGGGTGTGTTTGAGGGGGTTGTGTTGTGTGGGGTGAGGGAGTGAGGGAGTGGGTTGTATGTAGGTGATTATATGTCAAGGGATTGATTTTAACCTCGTTTATCAATTCATTAATTATTAATAAAAGACTGGGTGGGGGGTTCCCCTATGATAGACGAACGTGGGGATTTCGGCTACCTAGTACGAGTACAGTAGAACTTGTTTATACCGGAACGAAAAATTCGACCAATTATATCCGGTATAAAGAGGTTTCCGGTATAACCAAGTTTGCATAAAATTTTATACAAATTTTATACAAATATATTGAAAATAATCATGTGATATTCAAATTGATTATGTGATATTGGAAAATATAATATGATTAGGCCTATTCAGCCAATAAGATCCTATTATTTATACCGGATTTTCGAAAAAGTTGTGTATTCCGGTATTAGCTAAAAATCCGGTATCACTATACAAAAATCAGAGAATTCGATAAATTATTCCGGTATAACCGGGATTCCAGTATAATGGAGTCCGGTATAAACAAGTTCTACTCCATGTCTGCTTAACTACCCTTCAAGTTGGATAGGGGAGAAATACCCTTTCCTCTCACCACAAACTAAGAATTTCAATTCATCGAACTTGATTTTTTGTCTTTGGGTATACGAAGATGTGTTAATTATGAATAAGAAAAGCTACGAGAGCATTTTATGGATGGATGCGTGTCTTATGGTGTTTGTGAGGTTGATTAATGTGTGGGTGTATAATGAGTTGGGAAGGGAAGGGAAGAGGGAGGGGTGGTTGGAATTAATTGATACTGGTACTGATATATGGACATGGACATGGACATGGACACTTTTCTCACTCAGTATCATACTTCAACTTAATTGATAAATCAAGTATACGTAAAAACCGTCAATAGATTCAACAAAGGGAGACGAGAAGTCGATGTTGTGTTGTTAAATCTACTCGAGTATATGAAAAAAGTAAAGATACCTTTTCCCATCGGTACAAATATGGGGGTAGCGAATGCGGGGAATATTAATTCTACCTATTATCAGTGATTCTATATTATTTGATGAGGAATTGGTTGGATAATTATTTAGATCCATAATCTATATTGCTGATAGAGAATTGGTCAAATATTTATACAGATAGATCTAAAATTCGATATCCTGAATGTAAAAGGCATTCCGAAGATTGTTTCATTATGAGCCTTACAAGTATCGTATTTCAGGGGCTATCCTAGCCTATCATAGACCGAGATACGAGGAATCTGCTAGAAGACCTCCACTGAAGAAGGGATAATTAGATAATCTTCAAACTGGGAAGCATGACTGTAGCTATTCATACTGGTGAATAACCCGATCATAAATAGGTTTGTTGTATTCTAATATCAGATAACTTGATATTGGAGCTAGAAGTAGTTGTAGATGATGATGGCAAGTGCAACAGTGTTGGGTTGTTGGTAGTAGGCATTCCTTGTAATCAATGGCGTAGGAGTTTCTCAGCTGAGGCGTTTGGAATGCGACACAGATGACAAAATAAAATCAACAAATTACCTAGGTAGATAGTCCAAGCAACTTTTTTATCCTCATTTGTAACTCAATTATTTTATCTAAATTTTTATTACTCCATATGAATTCGACATATCATAACGAACTTATTTATTAAGATCTACTGTACCTTGCAGAAGAATATCAGATTCACCCATTTTCACGTCATCATTTCCCCACACTTGCATTCAGATCCCCAAGCAGTGCAGTGCAGTTGATCCACACCTACCTACCCTAACCCGGCACCGGCAATATGGTTGATGAAACTTCCAACAACAGAACCTCAACTATACCTCCTGGTGATGAACCTACAGCAACATTAAATCGACGTCGTTCCAATCGTTGGTCTACAGATGGAATACCTTCATCAGGAAGTCGCAGAAGAAGTTCCAATTTCTCAGAATATTCGTTGAATGAGTTCAATAAGAGTTTGAGAAATTCGACAGATGATATCTTATTTCCTAAACCTAGCGATATGAAGGAGGAACATAATCATGATTCTTCACATTGGGATTCGGCGCCTTTAGCTTTTGCACTTCTGCCGGCAATTGGAGGTCTTTTCTTTACAAATGGAAGTTCGGTCATCACAGATGTTATGCTTCTTGGATTCGCTGCCATTCTGCTGAATTGGTCAGTAAGAGTGCCATGTAAGTTACCATTCCGAAAAGTCTTGGAGTCTACGAGTTAGAACAACGGCAGAGGGGTTTCAGCCTTTCAGGAAGTCTTCAGAGTAATGAATGCATGCTAATTATTCAGGGGATTGGTATCATTCCGCACAGTCGATTCGAATGAAGGAAGAATATAATGAGGAAGTGGCTGGGGATGAAGCAAGCGGGGATGAAGGCGTATTGGACTCTACGATTGAGAACCATGAAAGTTTTTTGGACGAGAAGCCGATCCCGCAATCACCCAAGACAGGGAGACCTCAGCCTGCACACGAGATTGCTACGAATGAACTCTATATTCATGAAATACTGGCTTTACTGTCCTGTTTCATATTTCCAATAGCTGGGGCCTATATATTGCATTCAATTCGGTCACAATTGAGCCGACCGTCCGAAGGATTGGTGTCGAACTACAATTTGACCATCTTCTTACTAGCTTCGGAATTAAGACCAATGGCGCATCTAGTCAGGCTATTACGAGCAAGAACGCTGCATTTACAACGAGTTGTGAATTCGAATCCGTACGATGACTCTACTGGAAAGACGTCGGAGGTCACTCAAGATTTGGTCCGAAGGTTAGAGGAATTAGAGACTCGGGCTTTAAACGTAGAACCATCTACCGGAAGTGTGCCAGAACCGGTCATGAATGGGAAACAATCAGCAATTCTTACTACAGAGGTTCGTCGCACAATGCAGCCTGATTTAGATGCTCTCAACCGAGCTGTACGTCGTTATGAAAAACGTGCCACACTTCAGTCATTCCAAACTGAAAGCCGTCTGCTAGACTTGGAAGCACGATTGAATGATGCTATTTCCTTGGCGGCAGCGGCAGCGAATAATTCTCAAAAACGCGGTGCTTCCGGGATAGTCTTCGATTTGATATCCTCAGCTGTGACCCTTCCGTTACAAGCCTTCGGTACTATCGCCAGCCTTCCGTTTAAGACACTTCTCGCAGTGGTCAATTATACCAGATCTTTGCTTGGCGGCCAGATTCCAATGGAGAAACCCAAGAGAAATACGAGTGGGCGATATGCGCCTCATGCAAAGGTTAGTGACCGTGTACAAGGCAGACCAAAGAGATGAGGTTTCAACAGTTGGAAAGTTGGAATTTGACCATTACAATTACGAAGACAGAACCAATTGATCAATTGGATTATGCCACTTGCCTCAATGCATTGCACGGAATAACTAACACAGGGCGTTCTCCAAGCCCTTTTGAAACACACGTCGTCAAAATGACTTTGTCATTGGTTTCCGAGAGTCGAGTCGTTACACGGGCTGTGAGATACGCATCATAGGGGACCTATGATTCAAGGGACGTCACAGGCAAACTATTGTTCCGCGGGTGTAACGCTTACAATCCGATCTCATGCGTGATCTATAGAGTAGCCTTTCGATTCAAACACCCTTGAGAAGGTATGGCGGAGGTTGCTGAAGATCTAAAGGTTCGCTTCATATATCGGGGAGCAGGTGGAAATACGCAAATAACGTGAGTCAATATGACTCAACGTGCTTTCGACTGTACAGATGTCACGGCTTAAAAATGCCCAGTGTCCCTCTCTCATGATTTCTCAAACATTCTTACATCTCTATTCATAATTGTGGTATCTCGAACTTAAACTCCCTTCCAGCCTTGCGTCAAAAAAATGCCGCTTAAATCAGATATCTCCATTGATGTGGCAAATTTGCGCCTCAGAATACATCTCCCCAAACAGCTGAAGTTAATGAGAACTTGATCAATATATTGAAAGATGGCCCCAAATGGTTTGAAGTTTGTCCACCAAATTACTTACATCTAGCTCATTGCTGATTGCTCGTCTACAGATTGGCGCGTCAGAGTATCGCGAGTTGAGAAATGCTGGAAAGACTCCTATTCCTAAGCCCAAACTCTTGCCGGAAGGTCTCGACATAGAAATACCTTCTCGTGATTGTGGTCGAACAATTCCTTGTCGTCTAGTATATCCATCTTGGCGCAGGACCACCGAGGAACGAAGAAAGACAAGAGCAGTGGGATGTCTCATACATGGCGGTGGATGGGTTCTTGGCGATCAGCATTCTGCTGATACCCTACTTCAATTATATGCTAATGCTGGGGACCTCGCGGTTATATCAGTCGGATACAGACTTGCTCCTGAATACCCTTTCCCATGTGGTCCCAATGATTGTATTGACGTAGGAGAATATTTGGTGAGGAATGCGGCAGTAGCTTTTGGTAGCTCATTAAGGTTCATTGGGGGGGAGGTATATTGGTTCTATCACTCTTATATAAATCACTTACTGACTTTGCTCAATAGAGTGCTGGTGCTCATTTATCCTTACTCGTTGCCTTCCATCTCCTCAGAAATCAGCCCGACTTCAAGCTCTCAGGACTGGTTCTTCACTGCGGCATCTACGATCTAACCATGCTCCCTCAATGTCGAAATTTCGGTCGACCCCACCTAATGCTAGATCACAACCTCATGCGCAAATTCGTCAACGCATTCCTCCCCTGCTTGACCAACGAGCAGAAAAAGAATCCCCTCATCTCGCCATACTACGAAGATCTGGAAAAATTTAGAGGCAGATTACCAAGTGCTCTCTTTACATGTGGTACTGAAGATCCGCTACTGGATGATTCGGTCGCGATGGCTACGAAGTGGATGATGACGGGTGGAGAGGCGGTTATTAAGGTTTATACGGGGGCGCCGCATGCGTTTATTGGGTTGAGGGATTTGTTGAAGGAGGCGAGGGATGCGCAGGAGGATACGAAGACTTGGATTAGGGATTGTATGGCGAAATTGTGATGTGGATAGAGGGATGGGGATGGGATGGGGAGAGAGGTACTTTTAGAGAAGAGAAGGGCGTTGTGTTGATAGTTGTGGGTTTTTGTAAGAATGAAATGAAATAAAATGAAATGGGAAGAAGATGAAAATGAAAATGAATGATTTCTCAATGTATACATGCATGCATGCTCTTCCATCTATGACTATGGAAAAGAGAGAGAGAAAGTTTTTACCGTGATAATAATGAATCGAGACACATATATACATTACATACCGTGACATCATCATCATCATCATCATCAGCACCCACTCACCCACCCTCCCTCCCTCCCTCCAATAATGTTCATATATATATAATGTATATATAATGTATGTACTCGTATAATGTATATATAATGTAAAGTAACTCAAACTCAAACTTATGAGTACGAGTACGAGTAAAATGCGATGCGATACGATACGATGCGATGTGATGCGATGTGATGTGATGCGATGCGATGTGGTCTAGGTTTATTGTTTGAATATTCTTGTTGATGTTCATGTTGATATGTGATGGGTTTAGGTAGGGGGTGAGATGGGGTGGAATGTGGGATGTGTCACGTGTATTATTAATATTAGGTAATACTGAGTAGGTGAAATGAGGGATTAGGGATTGGGGATTAGAGATTGGGGATTGAGATTGGGGATTATGGATTATGGGTGTAGATAAAGGGGAGAAAGAGAAGAGAAGGAATAGATAGGATAGAGAGAAGAGAAGGGATGGAGAGGATAGAGAAGATCTTGAATAGTAAATGGTAAATGGAGATATTTACTAGATTAGATATATAGTGCAGTATAATCATTATAATAAAAATGAAATAGCAATCGGTAATTCTTTTTTTGAGGGGGGAATTCGATTTAATTCAAATTATTGATTATATATAACTTTACAAATACAACTTGAAGAAACTGATTATATATAGTATACAGGCTATGAATTTATACTATAGCGAAATTCCTACTCAAGTACGAGTAGATATAGATATAGAAAACAAAACGAGACTTTTGATACTAAGTATCTAGGTCTGCAGCTATTACTGCTATAGTACTACAGAGTATAAAGAAATAATCCATCTAATTATATAGTACCTAATAAATCTCCAAAAAATACCAAAAATAGGTACATACACACTATACAGTGTAGTAAAGATATTTTATTCAATTTATCTATTTCATTTTAGTTCTCTCCTCTCCTTTACACACTTGACTCACTGGCTAATCACCTTATATGATTTTTTTGAGGGAGCGTTCTTGTATTTGAATGCTTTTAAATGTCTCTTGAGTTTCCAAACATACATTTGGATTGATATATGTAATCTTACTTTACATTGTACTGTATACTGTATAGGTACCTAGGGAGGTGTGTGGCACCCGTTGAGATGAGATGTCACTAGGGGGTATGGGGTACGGTGGTACGTACTTATATTATATAAGACTTACGTTTTGAGGGTTTGTTATATATGTGTGAGTTGTATGAGTTGTGTGTGGACATGTATGTATATATATATGGTCACGACATGTTTGTATTTTTGACTTTGCTACTCTCGTTTTTGATTTTTGATTTTCTGTATTTATTCGTTATAGGGGGCTTTGGGGGGCAGTGGTACAGTATAGTAAAGTGAATATTAATAAATTTTCGTTTTTAAATTTTCGGCTTGGCTTGAGTACATGGGTTTTCGCTGTCATGATCGCAGTCTCGCAGTCGCATTTTCGCTAAACTCAATGCCAAATTCTTATTGAGGATCTTAGCGTCTCGGTTCCCCTTTCTCGCTATTCCTAATGTGATGCTCAATAGGACTTTTCACCCAACCACGATGCGATATTTGAGGGTTCATAACGGATATCATAACAAGTGTTGGGGAGATTTCTCAATAGAAAGGGAAATGTGAATACATTGCTGAGAAGTATCTCAGTCTCTTAATTTGGTTTCTTATTGAGGGTTTGAGGTTTGAAATTTGAAACTGAGCGGATGGCTTGCGTATTCGTTTGCGTACTGCTATTCTGGTGCGGTGGTGTGGTATGTTTATGGTGGACCCCTTGAAATTCTTGCTATTAAGGGGTCGGTAATGGAGTTGGATATTTCCTCAATAGATTGTATTTGTACCTATTGAGAGGAAGACGCATTTGAAGTTTACAAGTATCTTCAAAGTATCAAGGACCATTGCCTTTCCTCCACAACTATTTTCAAAACTTTACTTGAACGTCGATCTTTCTATCACCCACACGTTTCACGGAAATACCAGATTTCTTGATACCTTGATTATCATAATAATAGGAGGCTTTGTTCTTCCCCCTCATCTTGTTTCTACTTAACTGCCTTTATCTCATTTCATCTCGGCACCCGTGTTCCGTCTTACTCTTCCACATTCGAGAGGAAAACGCCGCAATTGAGGAGATAGGGAGGGGGTGATATTTTGATATCTACCTCTCTCACGTCCTTCTATCTACCCTCATTGCACTCTCAATCAGATATCGGACATCAATTCATCATGTCCAGCAATATCATCACCACGGGTTCAGACCCTCCAGGAACGAACTACCCCGTCTCCGCCAATGCCATTACGCTCCCCATATTCTCCATAATCTTCATCATCCTCCTCATCGTACCCTTCCGCCTCCTTTACCGCGTCAGCAACATCGCAGCATGCTCTCTCGTCATCATCAACATCATCTCCCTAATATTTGTCGCCATGAACGCCATCATTTGGCCCACCGACAATCTCTCTAACCGCTGGTCCGGCCACATCGTCTGCGATATCCAAGTCCTCGTTCGTCAGGCGCTTTATACGGCAATGGCATCTACCACATGTTGCATCACGAAGTTCTTGGCAAGAGCCGTGGATACGGATAATGCTTGTTTACATGAGACGGCAGCGATGAAGAGGAGAAAGGTCATCAAGGATTGTTTGTTTTGCTTCACAATTCCCGTATTGCAGGTCGCGTTGCATTATGTAATTCAGTTGAATAGATATACGGTTATGACTATTTATGGGTGTGTGGATGCGACGGATTTGAGTTGGCCTAGTATTGTAATTGTGCATATCTGGCCGCCGATTTTCGCATGTTTGAATGTTTACTTTGCGGGTATGTTAAAACACCATTCATCATCACCTCATACTCAAAATACTTCTCGTGGGCCATGTTGAGAAAAGAAATAGAGCAAACTAACAAAACATACAGTCCTAGTAATCTGCCGACTCCGCCGCCACCGCACAAACTTCACCAGCACGCTCTCCTCCTCGAACTCAGGCCTCAGTCCCCGTCGCTTCCTCAAACTCTTCTCCATGTCCGTCGTCCTTCTCGTCATCTATTTCCCCGTCGTAATATACTACTTTTACCTCAACGTCAGCTGGCCTCTACAAGCGTATTCCTGGTCTCGCATCCACGACCCACTCTTCTGGCATCTCATTGTATTTTGGCGAATAGCCGATGGCCCCTCGGGAATGCAATATGATGCGTGGAATTGGGTTGCGTTTGCTCTTATGATCTTCCTATTTTGGGGTTGTAATAGTGAAGGAGGAGAAATCTATAGGAGGGGGTTGGTCAAACTTGGATTGGCGAGATGGTGGCCCAGATTGAGAATGACGTTGCAAGAGAGGAGAGTGGAGAAAATGGAGAGGGAGGGTAGGACGGGTATGAGTACAATGGGGAGCTGGACGGGAAAGTTCGATTTGATTAGTAAGACGATGCATTATTTTGAGAATAAGGAGGCTCAGTCGAGGAAACAGAGTGTGGCTACGGCGACTACGTTGAATGATGGAGATATGTAAGTTTTCTTTAACTTTCCAAAATCGGATATTTTCCCGCCTTTGAAAAACCATCCTAACGTAACCCCAGGACACGCACCTCCACCCGCAAATTCTCTCACGCAACCCAGCCCGATACAAACATCCATCCCTCCACTCACTCCGGCTATAATTCCCGCACCGCGACCGCTTATAGTCCCTCCACCCATAAGCCCTCCATCGCCACAGCCAGCATCAACGAAAACGACATTTCCTATTCCTCATCCGCACCTACATGTGCAGATCCAGATGTCATCACCGCTATACCGAGAACTCTCTCCCCGGAAACCATCTACTCGCACATTCCGCACATCGAACATTCTGGGGCTGAGGAAATTACTATTCCTGCTCCTACATCTGCACCTGTGTCTCGTAAGGGAATATTTGGCGTATTCAGAACGCATGTTAATCCGCTTCCTCTTGGTGCTTTCCTTGCTCGTGGTAAGGGTTCGGATTTCAATTCTTCATCTGCGTTTACTGGTCGACATGGGGATTCTCATTCTCGGTCTGGAGACAAAACTAAAATCCACACCTCGAGCAATGAAAAACAAGTTCCTGTTTCTCACTTCTCGGACGATAATATGAATACGGCGACTACACTAACGACGCAAATCTGGTCCGCGAATAATACGCATAGATCTTCGGATGCGGGATTATTAGTTTCGGGCGAGTGTGAGGGTGAGAGTGTTGTGGATGATCATGGGAATGGAAATGGAGCTATGGATATCGATGAGGAAAAATATGATCAAGAAGATATTTTGACATCTCCAAGACCGGGAACCAGAGCTTATAGGGAGAGGGAACGAAGAGAAATGATTGCGGAGAGAGAAGAGAGGAAGAGAGATAGGGAGGGATTGAATGTTAAGCGGACGTTTGAGGTTGTGGAGGAGAGGGAGAGTGTTTCTAGTGGTTGTGCTGAGGGTTCTTGAGATGAAGATGAAGATGAATATGACGATGATGATTTGGTGGAGATGGAGATGGAGATGTGGGGAATTGTAATTGGAATTGGAATTGGAATGGTGATGAAGGGGAAGATGAAGATGATGGAAATCTTTCTTTTCAAGTTGTTATTTACTTCCCTTCTTTCTTCCTTTCTTTCAATAACTGCGAGATACCTCTCACATTAGCGTTAGCGTGGCATAGCATAGTAGTTCAAATTTGCGGATTGTGTTTTGAAGGCCCGGGCCGGGGTTTAATATGGAAATATGGAAATTGGAGATAGAAATTCATGGGGAGGAATTATTTGATGAGTTTGTTAATAGAGACTCGGATTCATTTTGCACTGACAGGCAATAATACCAATTTACTTTCTACTTTCTACCTTTTACTTTGAGTTGAACTACTACACGTAGTGGTTCTTTTAATCGGTTCAAACCTGAGAAGTTTGCTTACTTTGGAAAATATGCTAGTAGTAGTATAATCTTTACCGCAACACTTCCAAGTTCCCTGATGATTTGTGAGTCTCTTTTAATTTGTTTATCTTGAAATACTTGGTTTTAAACTTGAATGAATCGAGAAGCTTGAATGAGTATTAATGAATCGTTTTGATTATTATTGCCAAGGTTTTTAGACTATTATTACTAGTTATATTTATTATCCAAGATATCTTCGGATATTGAATCTTATTATTCAAGTCAATTTTAAATAGTAGCTTGGAATCTATGTTATTTAAACTGTTTTCAAATATAGAATATATATTATCTAAATTATATATAAATAAACAGAATCTCTATTATATAAGAAATTTTCTAATATTAAATCTTTATTATCTGAATTACTTTCGTATAATAATCGCCATTATGTAAATCCGTGACGGATTACAAGTAGAAACTAGATTAGTCGTTTTAATGACTGAAGTTACTAGTAATGAAGAAGGAAAGAAAGAAATAGACTCGTCTTTCTTCTCTTAAAACTGAGGACTAAGCTAGAGTCAATTAATACTAATGGATGGGAAGTTGCTGAGTAGTCAGGGTTGTGCCCCCTGACACTCATTCCCCTTTTCGAGTTGTCCCTTTCGCGAATATCTTTAGAGAGAAATATATGAGTAATATTAATACTTGAGTAAAAAAAAGAAAAAAGGAATACGCTTCCCAATAACTAGTATAAGTTTTCGTGTGTAATTCGCCCGACCCTGCTTCATATCCCGAATCCCGTACTAGCAAAGAAAACGAATAAGTGTACCCGATATGAGAGGTTAGTTAATAGAATGAATCGATCTCGAATACTATTGAAATATTACTATTCGTCGGATAGTAGGCTTAGCTCCCTCCAATGGAGCCTGCGGCTTCTAGTCGACAAAAGCAATCGTATAATCTAGAATATATAGTGATTATTAGATGAAGCTTGACTTCTTTGTACATTTTCAAGATTTCTTTTATTTTTCAAATACAAATCCAAATAACTTTCAAGTTATAATTATAATTTCCAAATCTTTGAAATTTAATATCTGATATTTTTTGTTGAAAGTTATAATGCACCTAGGGAACAGTTCGTTGTGGCTCTTTAATCTCTTGATATTTTGTTGTAGAGTTGAAGGATTGAAAAGGAGGAGAGCTCTAGGAATAAGCAACCATACTTAATCAGCCAGATTCACTACTGTACTAACGACTTTCAACACACCCTTTTGTTGGAAAAGTAATGAAGAAGTCCTTTAGCCTTATATAATACTTTTATTTTTTATTTTGAAAGCTAATTTATATAAAAGATAAATCCTCCTAAACTAATACCCTTTATTCTATTACCCTTTTTTCAGCACCTTTTGCTCTATCTATTCTAAATAAGTTGTAGATTGTAAAATTGATTAGTCGGCTGATGGGGTTGAATACATATATTCTAATACCTTGGTAAGGCAGGGATTATGTATCGTTGTAAACCACAAATATATATATTTGAGGCTTTGAACTTTAGGCTTATTGTATGCCAAAATGTCTATTCTAATGCCCAACAGGGCGGAGATGTGTGTCGATATTGTCGTGGATTGTATATGTTTATTCTAATGTTTGGCAAGGCAGGGTTGTTGTATATATTTAAGACCTTGAATCTTAGGCTCGTTGTGCGCCGAAATGTGTATCGTTGTAGATTACAAATATTGTCAAAGTATAACGATGCCACCCCCCCTCGCTGTGAGGCTAGGGAATGGTCTTGAAATACGCATCACACCTGTGATCGCAGAGTGCCTATTATAATGCCTGGCAAGGCAAAGGTTTTGTTCCATTGAGTTGATACTCTAGGTGCTTGAATGAATTGCAGGCTTGCAATCGATAGTGTTGATGGTCTTTGTGTCGTCGTCGTTGTGCGACCGAAATGGGGTAAAGTCTGAATACCCTCAAAATCATCAAAGTCGGTGATGTCGATATCGTATTGATCGTCCCGACTGGCTAGCGGATACGCGCAGCCGGGCTCATAACCTGTTGAATTATGGGTCAAGTATAGTTGAATGATAAATCACATAAACTGGATATCAGATAATGGGTTCAATGCTTGTTGGCTAATTTGAAGAATATTAAGAGGGGGAACTTTCGAAGAAGTTATATATATATACATATACTAGACTAGTGGTCATTAGCTGTATTCTACATATACATTATATACATCACAAAACTGGCTATATTCAATATACCCCTTAGTTAATAATATAGACAATATATAAATCTCTTAATCTCTGAAACTTTGATCCTAGTTTATTCTTTCTAATTTCCTTTTTCTAATTATTACTCCTAGCTAATCTTTCCCTAATATATATCATTATTATCAATACAAATGTCCTGGGCTTTCAACTACTGGATTGTTTTATTATATTGATATTTATCTATATATAACAATTCAATAAATCAAGTATATTTAATAGACAAAAATGGTTTTGTTAATTCATCACCAATTTACTGGTTAATTGAGACAAATTATAGATTAATATAACCTTTTACTATTTGTTTGCGAATATAATGAAATTTCATAGTAATATATTTAATATATTAATAAATCTTCAGATTCTTAGCTAAAACAAGATTTCTCTGATTATCATTAAATAATTTAATCTTTTTGATATTTGAGTAATTATAATTTATTTTTATCAGAAACTAGCGAATCCAGATAGTTTTTATTAAAGTTTTATACAAATTATAATATTCTGATTCTATAGAACTCAAAGTTATTATAGATTATCTCTTTAATTATACTGAGATTATATCTCTATATATAAAGAATATATAATCTGAAATATTACATCAAATAGACAGATCTTTAATATAATTAGAATCTATATATCTATAGATAATCT